TATAAGGCCCACAATTTTTTGTTCAATCCATTAAAGAATGCAACATTTTCAAATAATTATTTAAAAAAAGTAAATATTATTATATTTATATTTGAATGTATTAATGATTGTAGTAGAGTGTTTGAATCACGTGATATTTAGTGAATGATTACATTGATGTTAATGCATCTGCATTCACTGATTGCAAGCCCATTTAAACGTCATTTGGTTCATTCAAACAAATGTGACATATTCATTCAAATAAAAAGTATAGAGCCCCACATTTTTTGTTCAATCAATTGAATGACATTTTGCCAATAAAGTAAATGAGACCCACATGTTTTGTTCAATCCATTACAGAGTGCAACATTTTTAAATAATCTATATATATATAAGGAGGTTGTTGAAAAAATACATTAATAGAAAGTTTGACCAAATAAATATAATTTTTGACATACTATTAATGGAAAGTTCAAAAAAACACATGTGAATCTTTAGTAACATAATCTAAATCCTATTTTTCTGGTAACAAATTTGGAGATTCTTATGGCAAACTTTGTATCTCATTTTTTTCGTATAATATTTTTTACCAAAATTTAGATCATATCTTTTTTGGTAACCAATTTGGAGATTTTTATACAAAAAATGTGTCAATTATTTATAAAAATAAATACAAATTAATTTAAAAATCGTGCAAATTGGATACAAATTTAGGAAGCAAATAGTTGTATAATTTTTAACCAATTCTTCCAATCTTATTGAATAAGTTTCCCTTTCAAAAAAATTGTGTAAATTGGATAAAGCCACGTGCAATTTTTTTTAAAAATAAAACTGATATTTGGACGGGATGTACATTCAAAATGTGTCCACATTTTTTGGTAACAAAAGCGGTTCATCATTGATATTTTAAAGTCACCTTATCCAATTATTAGGAAAAATTGTGTGCAACTTTTCAAAATTTAAATGCATCGATTTTTTTGGATTCTTATGTTTTTTTCTTAATCACGTTTTATCGAGATTTTGGTAAGTCCATATCATTTTTTTTGTTTTTGGTTAAGTTTGTTAACATCCGAGTTCGCCCCGAAAAGGAGAGGGACAATAGGTACCTCCCGAAAGCCGAACTGACTCCCAGAGCCGAACCGAAGACACGTCAAGTGCAAGTGCCGAGCTGAGTTCCATATCTAGTTAGCCCAGACATCTCCGCGGGCCCGTCCGCGAGCCAGGCGTTTGTTCTGTTCAGACACCGGTGCCGACCTAAAGTAGGTGACGGGCTGAAGTAAGGTCCTGGAGGGTCAGAAGAACGAAACGAGATCGGGAGCTGGCCTGAGGTTCCAGGACGGTTCCCCCATAGACGGATGTCGAGCCCGATAATAATATGATAATGCCACTTGGAGAGCAATCATTGGTGATTAGACATGGCGCCGTAGCCTGCAGGTCTACATCCACTAGCCAAGACATAAAGTCTGCCAGCACTAAAATGACCCCCATGTGAGCATTAAATGCCTGCCAAACAATGATGAGGAAAACCTCAAATCACAATTAATGCCTGTCAGAAAGACGTCGAACTGCTCAGCCGGAGTACTATACGACAAGGCCGGTGAACAGTACATGAACAGTGCCACATTTAAGGCCACTATAAATAGCAGTCCACCTCATTTATTTCTGGGTTGTTGAATCTCCAACTTTCAGACTCTCTCTCTACTTTCTCTCTCTAGACTCGTATAAAACCCCTGTAAGAATTTGTAAGGATATCGCAAGTGCCGACCTCGTACGAGAGGCCGACCTCGTGATTGACTAATAAAATCATAATTAAACCGTACTTTTCTCCCTTTTTTCCTATTTCATATTTCTTATCTTGTTTCTTTAACCGTTGACCGGAAACGCCCGTCAACAGTTTGGCGCTAGAAGGAGGGCACCATCAGTTACTTGGTGTCAATTTTTTGATTTTATGGAACTCCACATCACACCCATCTTTTTCCTACTTTTCATTTCCGAAAACTGCTCAAAATGCCTTCATCCAGCCACAATGAGTCTATCCAGCAGTCCGGCGGCCAGTCTCGCCGACACAACGGCAGAGAGACCTCTCGCCGCACTCAGCAGGGGCCCATAGTCCCTGCCCCTCCAGTCCCGACCTTCGCTGAGGCCATGCAGCACCCCGACGTCCTCAAAGCTCTAGAAGGGGTCTTCGCAAAGGCGTTCGCCAGCCAGGCGGTCGGGGAAAAAACCGCGCGCGCGTGCTTGTTTGCCTCCTTAATCGAGCTGAACCCGCATTCACGAAGGAGGGGATAATATACTGTCCAAGGAGAGTAGAAGACGGGGTGAAGACAAGTATGATAACATATATGTATGTGCACACATAAAAAGGCCAAAGGAAAGGAGAAATACCGGGCTCGAAGGACTTGCTGTTGTATTCGAGACAAAGGCCGTGCTGGATCAAACTTTCCTCCGCGACGAGGTCCTTGTAGTATCGCTTCCCTTCGGCGAGACCCAGCAAGGTTTCAACCTTCGCAACCAGCTCGTCACTCAATTCCACGCGAGGATTGTGGACTGAAATGCAAACACCGACCTGTTAGCATGGAAAGACAATTAATCAGAAGAGCGAAAGCGAATAAAATAAGCTACTCACAAGGGCCGGAGATGAATTCAGTGGATGGGTGCCGAGCTGCGTCGGGCGTCCTCCACTCGCCGCCAACCCAGAACCACTCCGGCATGTAACCGTGTAGAGACTCGGGGACTCTATGAATTAAGGATTTGTCCACGCCCGGGGCGACCGAATTGTAGTAGTTGTCGGTCTCCCTGGATTTCTTGAAGACGAACAGGGCTCCCACGTCGTTACTAGTCGGGTCAGCCCACCCTTGCTGACGGAACAAGACAATGAGGCTGACCAGCCGAGCGAAAACTAACGGCACGATGCTCGCTCGATAGACGCCGATGCAGCCCGACGGGGGACAATGGATGCGCTAACCCGCGTAAGGGGCTAAAATCCTCACCCCGGCACCGAAGCAAGCCCTTCCCCTCAGTTTGGCCAGGTCAAGGTCCTTCAGCACCGACGGGGTTGTCCAGGCGGTTGCCGAAGCGGTGGATGGCCACACCCGCGGAGGGCGGCACCAACACCCAAAGAGAGCCGTAGTCGCTGCCTCGACCGCGGCATCGATCTCAGCATCCTCGCGACCCATGGGGACCCGCTCTCGCCCGTGGTGTCGCCCTGAAGCGTCTCATCGACCAGTCCGACGTCGACATCGGAGTCCTTGGGGGAAGCGACGCCAGTCTCTTTCTCAACCTCGTCGCCATCGGACCGATCGGAGTCGAGGTTAATAATCTCAACTGTAGGGAAGTCCGGGTGATCCTCTCGGCGCGGGCCCGCCGCCGCCACCACCGACGTCACGCGGACGGCCGAAATCGGCGTGACTCTGAGCGGCTGTGTCGCCTCCGTCGCCGGAGGAGTAAACCACCAACTCCCCGGTCTCCTCCGCCGTGTATCTGCCATCTCCGGCGGGGAGGTTCGTCGCATTACCAGAAGAACTCGACATAATCGAAAAATAAGAAGAAAGGTTATGAGAAATATGGAATTACCGGTGTGAAAGTCGTCGAAGAAGTTCGGAGAATCTCGAAATAATTGCCTTGAATTTCTGTTCGAAAACTCGGTCGCTCGGAGATTCAGTCGCTCAAAAATTGCAGAAGTAGAAAACTTCTCGAGGAAGACGATGATGAATATATATATAAGCCGTCGACCAATCCTCGCTTGACACGTGGCGCAGCATTTGAAATACAAAAATAAAAGCTCGATCTAACAGTTGGGACAAGCGCGATCCAACGGCTCTGGAAAGATAGCGTGGGTGTCACGCGCCCACAATGACCGCCAATATCCGAAGCGACACGCTGTTTGACGCAGACGAATCAGCAGACGCCACGTGGAAAGGCTCTGAAAAGGCGCGACTTTTCATGACCGACAGGAAGCGTAACGGGCAAGTCGCATTAAATGATCCGTCGCTTCAGATCTAAGGAGGATGCGCACGACGACAGAAAGAAAATCCTCGTCAAAGTTAAGTGCGCGTGCCGAACTCGCGTACCGTCGAGCTGCGAGAACTTGCGAACTCGGACTAACTATGAAACGACGACCTCACAGGGAATACCAAGGACATCCCCTCCGAGCTCGGGGGCCTGTATGTTAACATCCGAGTTCGCCCCGAAGAGGAGAGGGACAATAGGTACCTCCCGAAAGCCGAACCGACTCCCAGAGCCGAACCGAAGACCCGGTCAAGTGCAAGTGCCGAGCTGAATTCCAGATCTAGTTAGCCCAGACATCTCCGCGGGCTCGCCCGACGTTTGTTCTGTTCAGACACCGGTGTCGACCTAAAAGCAGGTGACGGGCTGAAGTAAGGTCCTGGAGGGTCAGAAGAACGAAACGAGATCGGGAGCCGGCCTGAAGTTCCAGGACGGTCCCCCCATAGACGGATGCCGAGCCCGATAATAATATAATAATGCCACTTGGAGAGCAATCATTGGTGATTGGACAGGGCGTCGTAGCCTGCAGGTCTACATCCACTAGCCAAGACATAAAGCCTGTCAGCACTAAAATGACCCCCATGTGAGCATTAAATGCCTGCCAGGCAATGATGAGGAAAATCTCAAATCACATTTAATGCCTGTCAGAAAGACGCCGAACTGCTCAGCCGGAGTACTGTATGACAAGACCGGTGAACAGTACCTGAACAGTGCCACATTTAAGGCCACTATAAATAGCAGCCCACCTCATTTATTTCTGGGTTGTTGAATCTCCAACTTTCAGACTCTCTCTACTTTCTCTCTCTAGACTCGTGTAAAACCTCTGTAAGAATTTGTAAGGATATCGCAAGTGCCGACCTCGTACGAGAGGCCGACCTCGTGATCGACTAATAAAATCATAATTAAACCGTACTTTTCTCCCTTTTTTTCTATTTCATATTTCTTATCTTGTTTCTTTAACCGTTGACCGGAAACGCCCGTCAACAAAGTTTATATCATTTTCTTTAGGAAAGAGACAGTTGAATAAACATTAACAATTTATTTCAATTTTTTATTAGAATTATTTTCAATTCAATTTGTTTGGTACAAAAATCGGTGCAATGTTAAGAAAATTCAGTTGCATTTTTAGGAAATATTGATGATTTTTTTATTTGGTTTTAAAGAAAATCGGATCAATTTGTTTGATAATAATATCGGTTTATTGGTAGGAAAATCGGTTTCATTTCCAGGAATAACTAATGATTCTTTTCAATTTTTCTTAACTGAAATTGAGAATTAGATTTAAAATAAATAATGGGTGAAAATCCCTAAAAAATTATACTTTTTTTTTCTACTTTAAGTTTTTTTAATATATAAGATCCTTAATTTTTTTAAAATTAGTTAACTAATAACTAATAATATGCAATTTTGGATAAATTCGAACACCTATGTAATACTTTACGTGCCAAAGAATCAAATCAATAATGTTGTACATAAGGAAGTGTTTAATAACATATAAATTTCATTTTCATGAAATTTTTAATGGCATGAGACAATTTAAATACAAAAATACATTTTAAAAAAATAAAAAGTAATAAATGCTCCCGTGCATCGCACGGGTACGGTACTAGTTATTTTAAAAAAATAAGTATTATTATATTTATATTTGAATGTATTACTGAACTAGTATTCGACCTTGTGCATTTGCACAGATGTAAATAAAATTAAATATTATAAGTTATATTTATGTATATAATATAAAAATTATAAGTTATATAATTGTATTATATTTCAAACATATAGTATTATAAGTTATATTTATGTATATAATATCTAAATTATAAATTATATAATAGTATTATATTTTAAAATTTGATCATTGGTTAAAATAAATAGTACACACGATTTGATTGTATACGAATCACTATATTGATTGCATAAAATGCAATAAATATATATTTTTTATAATATTGAGTGATCATGACCAATTAATTAGCTGAAAAATATTACATTTATTATAACAATTGCTTATGTGATTTTAAGAAATTTTACTATGACATAAAAAAAATTAATTTATTAATAAACAACATCTTCATCATATAAAAAAATATTGATTTTAGTGTAAGATATAATTTTATGTAACTTTCATATATTATTTAGTATAAAATATAATTACTAATTTTAATATTAACTATTATATTATTCAATAAAAAATATAATTATTAATCAATTAACATAAAATAAAATAGTTTTTGTCTTAATTAACCCAAAAATGTAATGAAATATTTTTTTATTAATGAGATTGGGTGTATTAATGCCACATAAATAAAATTTATTAGGTTCTATTTATTAGGTTTTATTAATGATTTGCCACATAGGTAAAATTTATTAGATTTTATTTATTAGGTAAAATTTATTGCTTAGCTAGCAATTATATATATATATATATCTTTACTCTTAATATATAAAAAGATGGCACCAGCCTCCTTCGGTCGACACGGGGCGCAAGGATTTTATGACCCCACGTCTTTCACAATCAAAACAAAAACGACGCCGTTTTGGTAAGGTTATTTCTGGATCGTAGGATTTTAGGGATTGAATCACTACACTCTTAAATAATCTCTTCTCATGCTTGCCCTAACTCCTTCGTGGCTGAACTCTCTCTCCCCCTCCCTATGTTTCTCATTCTTCACGACTTTGTGACCTTCGATTGTTTGTGAAGCGTGAAGGAGAGCCGTTGTTCTGATGTTATAGAACAACCTTTTTTTGTTACCCCTTAGCTTTTTTATTAGTTAATGTTGGTGTTATTTTGGAGCATCTTGATGATAAAGATGATTACACGCCTCTGGCTATGAAAGTGAGGGTTGCGCACTTAATTCTAAGAAGACGAAGAACTTTTTGCAGCCCAAGTTCGAACAAGGTAATTCATTTTCCTTTTTGAGGTAAGTCCTTAATCACACCTCTAATCTTCATAATTGAAATAACAGACTTAAATTGTAGTCCCAGGGTGAGATTTTGATTTCATTGTGTGTGTTTTTCATGATTAATTGAATTGTTTTTTTTCCTGGGTTCACTATGTTGATTGGGAAATTTCAAATATTTCTTCATTTTGTCAGTTCTTGTTTATATTTCAAGGATCTAGCTGATATAGAAGTTTTTATATTTAGCTTAATAGCGAAATAGAAAATTGTTTTCTTTTATATATGTTCTTTTTTACATTATAAAACAAAGAAATTGGATTTTAGCTACCATGGTTTGGCTTCGTGTGTAGTTGTTTCTTTTGCTGATGAGTGGGCTTCGCGACGGGGGCCGGGCTGAGGCTTCGTTCGTGTGATGTTCACATTGGGGATAGGGCTGACGATCCGGGTAGATGTAGCCACCGACATAAGTGGATGTTGCTATTATGTGGTTTGAGATCTAAATTCCGGTAAGTTTAGGGATTTGCTTTTGCTTTTTTAGTATTGTTTAATTTTTGGGTATTTACTTCTTCAATGTGTTATTTTAATTTTTTGTTTTTCGAACGAGGTTGCCGTCAGCGGGAATCCTTGGTCAGTCGTTACCTAGCCCTTGAATCAGAGATCATTGCATATATTGGTGTACAATTAATTGGGGTTCAGTGATTTCGAGTTTTTCAATTTTTTTTGTTGTTGTTCCGTTGTATGGTATGTGCGAGGTCGATTTCTTCTATTGTGGTCGTTTTGCTTTTAAATTAAACCAGAATTTTAAATAATTTTGGCTAGGGTTCTTATTTTCGTGGTGTCTGTGTTTTAGTTTGGCAGGTGACGAGGAGTATTGATTGGTGTTCTTCGCTATAAGAATCTGTGGACATGCTAACCAGGCAAGTTAAGTTTTCACTTCTTCTTGTTCAATTTTTGGTGCTTGTGCTCCTTTTTTTTTAAAAAGATTTATTATCTTCTCAGTTTTTTCCTTTGTCCTCCAATCTATTCATTTAATTTATGTGTGTTGATTTTTGCATCTTAGTACTTAGTGCTCTTATGNTACTTATGTAAGGGTCTTTCTAAAATATAGTTTAATTCTTAATAAATTTGTACCTGAAACTGTTTTTTTTGTGAGGCTGATGTTTAAATTGCCCTAACTATAATATTTTTTTTTTATATAGGGTATTCATATATTCGGCGCCTACAACTCTTGGACTGGTTTTCATTTACTGGACAGCTTATAGTATATATAGCTATAAGGTAATGAAAGAGACTGTCTTTCTTGCTTTTGTTTAAACTTTGTTGTTGCTTTGGGCATGAATGGATATAGGCCGATTAGAATCTTTTGATAACATACATGCAATATATATATTTTTATATGCACACCTTCTTTGAAGCATTACGTGCTACTTTAAATGTAAATAGATATCAGCTTTTTAAACACCTGTTTCATAGCATAAATGCTACATACCATCCTACAGTAATTTTTGTGGTTTTATGTCCAAGACATAGTTTGTTCATTGATAGCTATATGGGTATTCCTCTTATTTATTATTTTTTCTATGTATAAAAGTTGTATCTGTCATGGTAGAAATACACAAACCATTGTTTGTTTGCCTTCATTGAGTTGGAGTACATTATTTATGTGATTTTTCATCCGAAACATAGTTTGTTCATTCATAACTATATGGATATTCCTGTTATTTATTGTTTGTTTGTGTGACTAGGAGTTTAACTTGTCATGGAATAAGTGAACAGGACATTGGTTATTTGCCCCATTCAGTTGAGGTTTCTTCACTTGGAGTCTTTTTATAAAATTTGCTGCAGATTGTTGTTTTAATATGTTTTGCAAGATTTTCATGAGTCTTATTGTGCAAATTAATCTGTTTTCTATGAAATTATTATTTTTCTTAATGCTATGTAAATTTGTTGTCATCGAATTTACATTGTTCTTTTGTAGCCATCCAAATTGAAATCTTGTTTATTAGTTATTAAGTATGTCCGTTCCATAACCAAATTGCAGTTTAATATGTCTATAAGATAGAATGTCAATTTCTGCTTATTGTGCAAATCAAGTTTTTGTATTGATCGACTACTTTTCTTAATGAGCTTCGAATTTAATGTGTTAGCTAGATTATACATATATATGTGTGTATATATATAATATGTTTATCAATTAGTTCAATTCTTGCTTCATTGATGTGTTTATTTTCAACACTTATTTCTAATTTCATAATCAGTTATGTGAGGGTCTAAGTTAATGAAAGGGAGTGTCTTTATTGCTTTTGCTTAAACTTTGTTGTTGCTTTGTGCACGAATAGGTATAGGTTTGCTAACAATTTTTGGGTAACATTAGACCATAAAGTCTATGGAGCCATCGGATGGCTCCCATATGTAGCCATCCATAACTTTATGTATTGACACGTGTCCAATGTGTATTTATTGCAGTGACACGTGCCAATACATCATTTGTGGATAACTATGGATGGCTCCATAAGTCGAGCCATCCGATAGCTCCATAGCAAAATTGAACATTAGACATGCAATATATATTCTTTTATATATGTGCCTTTTCTTAAGCACTATATGTTTCTTTAAATGTAACTAAATATGAATTTTCAAGCACAAGTTTCATAGCATATATGCTACATGCCATCCTACATTAATTTTTTTTACTATCCCAAAGGCATGGTTTGTTCATTGATGACTGTATGGGTCCTCCTTTTATTTACTTTTTTATTTGTATGTATAAAAGTTTTGTTGTGATGGTAAAAATAAAAACAAGCCATTGTTTGTGTGCCTTCGTTCAGTTAAAGTTAAAGTGCTGTTGTTAGGAGACAATTTAAAAACTCCCATTTATTCATCAGAAGATTGGTACTTGATATGTTTCACATCATATTCATCAGTCTTATTGTGTGCAACGTCAAATGTGGTTTACCGGCTTATTCTTTTCTTAATGAATTTTCAGTTCGTTGTGTTCAAATTTACATTATTCGGTTGTCGCAATTCAATTTGAGTCTGGTAGTCTGTTTATTACTTGTTAACTATGTCTATTCCATCAGCAAATTGCAGTTTCATATGTTTATAAGATATTTGTTTCTGCTTATTGTGCAAAATCAATTGTTTTCTATTAGATCACTATTTTTCTTTATGGTCTGGGAATTTAATGTGTTTGTTCGATTATATGGATATGTATGTATGTAAATTAATTAGCTTCTTGCTTCAATGATATATTTGTTTTCAACAATTTTGTTTTTTTATCATAATCGTTTATGTGGTCATCTTTCAAAACTATAGTTTAATTCTTAATAAATATGTAGGTGACAGTATTATTTTGTGAAACTGCTGTTTAAAGCTCTTGGAATTCTATTGGCCAGCAGGGAGAGTGAAGTGTTTGTTAGTTGCTATGAGGTTAGCTTCCTTTTGTGCACATCAACTATTAACTGTTTTCCTTCATTTAACCATTTATTTATCTGTGTGCTTCCCAATATACTACTAATTACCTGATGTGCATATAATAGATCATTTTGGTTTTCTGATTTTTTTTTTGTTTTGCTGCGCGTTTACTGGATAAAATAAAATAATTCTGTTTATGTATGTATGTTTGTAAAGTAGCTGATTATTGATAATTCATTAACTCTGTGTGTTTGTTTGGATTATGTGACTTCAATAATTTTGCTCATTGTAGATTTACTTATTATATATATTAGAGTAAATTTAGGTTAACATAAAAGCATGCATTCACGTGTGTAATGAAGTGTTACAGAAAACTTTCGGCTCTGCTTTCTCATGTTATTTTAGCTTGATTATATAAAAGATTACAACCTTTTTTAGTTCTTTGCTTTCTTTGCTCTCTTGGCTGAAGTTATTTGCTCAGGTTGTAATTTTCCAAAGGCTGATGCAAGTACTTGAAAGAAAAGTCGTCCAAACGCCTGTACGAATGCAACATTTAACTTTTAAAAGGCACAAGCGTCGTGGTACAAACCTTTTGTGTTTTTTTATTATGTATATATACCAAAATTTCAACCATCTTAGTGGCATCAGTGCCATGCAACTCCCTTTTGTGTTTTTTATGTATATATACCAAAATTTCAGCAATCTTAGTGGCATCAGTGCTATGCAAACTTGGCTTTTGTGTATGCTAAATATCCTTGGCAAAATTCCAAGCATTTATTTACATGTAGATGCTTCAGAATTATCATGAAGAATTCAAATATTTGTGCTGTCTAGCTACTACACTTTTGTGTATATATATTATGGATTGATGTTTACCTAATATAATGTGCATGCCTATGTTGAATTAACCTTCTTTACAATTTAGTGGCACTCAAATGCCTACCTGACTTGGGCCGGCTGTGCTGTGCACAGCCGCAGCCTTCTAGTATATATATATATATAGATGTGGTAGAGTGTTTGAATCACGTGATATTTAGTGAAATAGTAACATCGACATTATATGGATGAGAGAGAAGATGAATGGTATTTAAATGAATGGGGATGAATACAGATGTCCTAATAGTTCTAGCATCAATTTAAATGGCAATCAAACCGGCAATGTGGAATACAGATGTCCTAATAGTTCTAGCATCAATTTAAATGGCAATCAAACCGGCAATGTGGATGTCCTAAGAGCATCTCAAATGGTGAAAGTGAATTGTAGTCTATATGGCAATTAAAATATTCTGTACACATGGACGAAATAGAGTGTCATGCTAATCAATAACACTCATATGGTAAATGTCTATATACGGTAAGATGTATGTACACGTGTTTTTTTTTTTTCTTTTGCTTTTCTACAAAAATTTTTGTACTGGCTTCGATTGTATGAACATCAATATTTATTGAGCATCTTTGAATTCGCTACCACTCATGAACACCCAATTGGTATTCCTCAAATATTTTTGTATTGGGTATTTTTCGAAGAGCTTCTTTACCTAATTATATATTTTAATTAAAATAAAAGAAATAAATAGGACAAAAAAAATGACTCATCAAGTATAAGATTGTATCGGGTATTTTCAGCGTATTTACTTAACTATATATTTTAATTAAAATAAAAGAAATAAATAGGACAAAAAAATGACTCATCAAGTCTAAAAGTTGATATTCATCAGATATTTCTGTATCACATATTTTTCGAATAGCGTCTTTACCTAATTATACATTTAAATTAAAAATAATAGAAATAAATAGGACAAAGAAAATACTCATCAAGTCTGTAAGGACTTTTACATGTAGAAAGACTTCTAGATGTTTTGTGTCTCTCATTCAACATCATCACATGTAAAAGTAAAAAAACTCACCGTTGGAGACGTTTTTGTACATAGTGATTGCCAACCCATTGTTCTGTGACTTCTATCCTACAACTTTTAATTAATGCAGAATATTGGCAACTTTCAACAACACAACACACAAACTACCAAGTATCAACATAAACTTAACTAATCCATTTTGTACTGTGACCAAATTTTCTATCCCTACCTAACTTCTCAAGATTCAGAAAAACATTCCACTTTTGGTTACATTTTCATCCAAAGTATCACGCCATATAATCTAATTTCAAACCGTGATCTGATTCAACGCTAAAAAGCACGCGGTTCTCAAACCTTTTTTTTTACAAACACAGATTATTTTCATACCCCAAAGTCAGTAAACCCTGTAAGGCCACGGTTTTGACCAGCATTACTGGCGTAGTCAAGCAAATGTGATATTGAGAGCAGGAAGAAAAATCTTATTTTGGAGTTTGAACTTTTGTAACTAAATAATTGAAAACTTTTGAAAATTATTGTTGCAAAATTGTACTTTCTTCCCGCTTTGAAATACTCAGACTTTTTTATCATCAAATTTATAATGTAATAATCTTGACTGATGAAAAAAAGTTATGCATTGAATGTATGGCAAAAAAAAGATTCTTTTTTCATACAGATCTTGAAAAGGGCAGTCCCCATTTCAAAGGCTGTCCCTTCACAAACCAAAATAAACTAAACGTGTGAAATTTTAACAATAGATGTAGCTCATACAAATCAAGCAAAGACAACCTTAGAGAATTAAGGATATCTAAATCCAGGTTGTTAGACAGTTTTGTGTAAAATGTATGTGTAATGGAGCATATTTCAATAAAAAAGCAAAATTGTCAACTAACGCTGAAACTGAACTTGTCCAATTGCATACTATTTTACTATTCACCGGTCTAAATCCAGCCTGTTACAGTTAATATAAAATATATGTAATATACGAATTATGGAAAGAGTTTGGGACCTAACAGTTAGTCCAGTGAAGAACATTGGTTGATAAGCAACGTTTACCTCATTGATTGCTGAAGGTCAGGTCAGGCAAACATTAGGTAATGCAAAAACCATAAATTTTTAGATATTTATTACATTTTGACTTTTTTGTTTTCTGAGCCCAAGAGTTGGTATAAAAGAAAGGCCTCTCTCTTGCTAGAGGTAGGATATATTTTTCTTTTTCATTTTTATTTTCTTTTTCTCTTTAATTTTTTGCAGTTGACCGTTAATTTCAAGAATCTTGTTAAGGGCTTGCAGCTGCTATGGCGGGCGGGTTCGGGCCGACTGGAGTGGACACTGAACGGGCCGGAGAGTATAAGGGAAAGGTCACACCTTATGTGATAATTGCCTGCCTTGTTGCTGCTATTGGGGGATCACTCTTTGGCTATGATATTGGGATATCAGGTGACCTTTTTTTTCAAAATTTCTAGTCAGAATTGGTATCAAGGGGAATTTTTGCAGGAAAAGAGGGGGAAAAAATGAAAGGAAAGGATAAGAACAATAGTAAAGATCAAATCTTGAAGCTGCAAAGCAACTTCATTTAAAATTTGCAGCTTTTCAATACCTTATTAAATTAATGATGTCTGAATTGGACAAGCTGTTATCATCTGGCCTTCCTCTGTAAAGCAGTTCTCAAAAACACTATCATGAAGTGTTAGCAAACATTAAGAAAACGGAAAAAGACTCCCCCCCACCAAAAAAAATGTAACAAACACTTCCATTCGCCTTCACTTACCGTAAATTTGACTCGCAATATTTGCCGTAAAAAACTATAGGAGGAGTTACATCAATGGATGGATTTCTCGAGAAATTCTTCCCAACCGTGTACAGAAGCAAAATGCACGCACACGAGAACAATTACTGCAAGTACAACAATCAAAGCCTAGCGGCATTCACGTCTTCTCTTTATCTAGCTGGCCTGGTGGCCTCGCTGTTGGCATCTCCAATCACAAGAAAATACGGCAGACGAGGGAGCATCCTATGTGGCGGCATAAGTTTCATCATAGGAGCAACTCTTGATGCCTCGGCAGTTAATCTCGCCATGCTCATTCTCGGCCGTATTATGCTTGGCGTAGGCATCGGCTTCGGCAATCAGGTATCTTACTATTCCTCAACTAATAATTTAGGTTATGTTTGGTAAAACTAGCTTATAGCTTATAAGTGATTTTCGAGTTTATAGTTTATAGCTTATGACCTATAGCTGAAAAGCTAGCTTATACGATAAAAGTGTCTGGTAAAATTAGCTGATATGTTAGCTGAAATAAAAATTTCAACGAGATTATTTGAAAAGCTATCTAAGTAAGCTTATGAGATAAGTTTGAACTTTTTAAAAAAAGCTCGTCCTACCAAACGAAACTTGTTTGAATACATGAAGCTTATAAGCTAATCAAATAAGCTACAAGCTAGCTTATTTGACTACCAAACATAGTCTTAGTAGTTTGAAAAAGATTCGATTGTTGCTAACAAGCTAAAATTTTCTGTGTAAAATCTTCAAAAAGGCAGTACCTTTGTACCTATCAGAAATGGCGCCAACCCACATAAGAGGAGCCCTCAACATGATGTTCCAGCTAGCGACCACGCTCGGGATATTCACCGCAAACATGATAAACTACGGCACTCAGAAGCTCGAGCCGTGGGGCTGGCGGCTCTCGCTGGGGCTGGCGGCAGTGCCAGCTGTCCTGATGACAGCCGGCGGGCTCCTGCTGCCCGAGACCCCCAACAGCTTGATCGAGCGAGGGTTCGAGTCAAGGGGTAAAATGGTCCTTGAGAAAATACGGGGCACGGCCGACGTGCACGCCGAGCTGCAGGACATAGTCGACGCGAGCGAGTTGGCGAAGTCCGTCGAGCATCCTTTCCGGAACATTCTGGAGAGGAGGAACAGGCCACAGCTGGCGATGGCGTTCTTCATGCCGACTTTTCAGATTCTGACTGGGATTAACTCGATTTTGTTCTACGCTCCCGTGCTTTTCCAGAGCATGGGTTTTAAAGGGAATGCTTCTTTGTACTCTTCGGCCGTGACTGGCGCTGTGCTGGCACTGTCGACCTTCATTTCGATTGCGACGGTTGATAAAGTCGGCCGGAGGGCTTTGCTGATTACAGGAGGAATACAGATGGTTATATGTCAGGTAAAAAAAAAAAATATTATACTATCTCCTATTTTTATAAATGTCATTTTAGTTTTATCAACAATTAACTAAATCAATGATGATTTTGATCTTTTGTACAATTTTTTCATTATTACACGCATCTAGCTAATAAATATTTCATCTTCACTTTTCATCTTTTCTCAAAACATCCATCTCTATCCTCATTGATGAGGGTTATTATTGGCAAAAAAAAAATATTTAATTACTTGCAACTTCTGAAAACGACACTCATTAAAAATAAAAGAGAGTATTTATTCAACTAATTCACTTGTACCTTCAATCTATTAAAATTTGGTAATTCTTCCTTTTAAACAGGTCATAGTATCTATCATATTGGGGCTGAAATTCAACAGCAACCAGGAACTTTCTAGAACTTACTCGATTCTGGTGGTGATTGTAATCTGCCTGTTTGTGACGGCTTTCGGATGGTCGTGGGGCCCGCTTGGGTGGACTGTGCCGAGCGAGATATTTTCATTGGAGACGAGGTCGGCAGGGCAGAGTATAACTGTGGCAGTTAACCTTTTCTTCACTTTTGTAATCGGGCAGGTTTTTCTGTCACTCTTGTGTGCGTTCAAGTTCGGGATTTTCCTCTTCTTTGCTGGATGGATCACGATCATGACTGCTTTTGTGTATTTCTTCTTGCCTGAGACAAAAGGGGTTCCTATAGAGGAGATGAGTTTCTTGTGGAAAAAACACTGGTTCTGGAGAAAGGTTGTGCTCTGAATGTGGAGAAAGGTTGTGTCTATTTTGGTAAGGTGAGATTGTTGGGTTGTGTGTACGTGTAATTCGAAAAACTAAATTCTTGAAAATATTATTGAGCATATACATTTGACAGAAGACATACAAATACCAAACCTCAGGAGTTGATGCAGTGGGTCGAAATTTCTATACCATTGTCTTTATTCACAAAATCGAAGGGAAAAAATGTTATAAGCGGCTCGTGAATCTGATGAATGTATAGCAATATTTTCTTTTCTAATGATATTTTTCACCAAACTATATTCAAACTAATTCAACTCTTATACAATAATGTGTTTTTTTTTCCTTACAAACAAGCGGAACACACATACTGTAGAAAAACAGAAATCCACACATAGGAAACACATACAACATTTTTTTTACCACTAGTTGCAGACAACCTGAGCACACATAATTTAATAAAACAAAACCTCACACATCAGAAATAGATACATATAATGTAGTGAAAGTAAAAAGATCAGAGGACAACACAAAGAAAAAACAGAGCAGAAACCGAAGAAAAAAAACTCTAATTCACTCGCTTGGTGACTTCATTTCGATGAAACCCCTTGTGGCAGCCGCAAACGGCGCAGGTTAGCGCGGCGGCGGCGGTGGTGCCGTCCTTAGGGATGAACTCCTGGCACCCGTCCACCGTGCTCTGGAACTTGAAATCGTGGATCTTCTGGCACCTCGTATAGACAGCTATAGTTTCGTACTCGACCGGCGGCTCCGGTTTCCGGTGGAAATACCTGTGGCAGCCGCAGATCAGGCAGTCCGAGGGGTCCCTCCAGTCACCCATGAACTGCTGACATCCATCGATCTTCCCGTCCATATGCGCGTGGGATTTGCAACATTCGGCGTGAGCCGCCATTGCTTTCTTATTTTTCTTCTGGTTTTTGTTTGAAGAAATTTGTTCTTTTTTTTTTTTTTGTACTTCTCGGCAATAATGCAATTATAAGGGTGTGTTTGTATATGAAAAAATTCATTTCATACTCAATTTATATTTAAAATCTAACTCAATTTTAATTCAACTTCATTATTCTCAATATTATCAATATAATTAAATAATATCAACCAATCATTCTACACATCACATCAACTTTAATTACTATTCATCATCAAACATTTAATTAATCATCACTCCACACCATCTATCTCATACTTTTAAATTAAATCAACTTTAATTATTTTATTTTAAATATTTTTTTAATACAAAATCAAAATCTCACTAACAATAAAAAACTTATTTTGAGCAGTTTTTTTATACAAACATGCTTAAGGGTGTGTATATTATAAAATAACTCAATTCACACTCAAAATTTAACTAACCTTTAATTAACTTCAGTATCTTCTATATTATTCATATATTTAAATCATATCAATTAATCATTTTTATACATCACATCAACTTAAGGGAATGGCTAAGTCAAATTTTTTATTGAAGGATGAATGATTCTGTTATGGGACTTTAGCATTTTCTCTTAAATTAATTGTTTAAGATAATTTTGGTCTCAAATCAATAAATTTAAATTGATAATTTAATACCTTTGGGATCTAGGGTGCGTTATTTTTTTAAAAAAAAAAAAATATGTGGCAAAAAATTAAAAAAAAAAATATTGTGGAAAAGAATCAAACGGCCGGATTATGAAAATCCATTTTTCTAATAAAAATTTTTATTAGAAAAATGGATTTCCATAATCTGTTTTTATTTTTTATTTATTTTTTTTAATGGTCGAATTTAATAAGAATAATAGATCTAATTTATAACACGGATTTTCAAAATCCGTTTTCAATTAAAAAAAATAAAAACGAATGAAACGGATTTCTAAAATCCGTTTTTAATTAAAAATAAAATAAAAACGAATGAAACGGATTTCCAAAATCCGTTTTTAATTAAAAAAAATTAAAAACGAATGAAACGGATTTCTAAAATCTGTTGTTAGTTAAAAAAAATTAAAAACGAATAAAATGGATTTCCAAAATCCGTTTTTTTCTTGATATAAACGGCTGCAAAATCCTCCCCAGACCACAGATGCGCGTTTGTTCTCTTATCTTCATAAACATATTTTTGTGTCTTTTGTTCGATTTTTGAGTAATTGAAGCTCCATTCAAAAAAAAAAATAAATAAATAAATTTTCAACCAATCATCGGAGAAGAGGTTAGTTATTATTTTAATGTAATGTAATATTATTTTTTTGTTGTCTATGAATATTTAAGATATATATTTGGTTAATTGAGTATTGTTTAGAAAATCTTGAATGTTGGTTTAATAGTTGTGTTAAATGATTATAATTTGTTATTTGCTATTGTTTAGAAAAACTTCGTCCTTCGTTCTCAAGAAATACACCCACAATTTTCTTGAAGCATCATCAATGAACGTCACAAAATATTTGCTACCACCGAGACTCTCCTCTTCCATGGGTCCACATACATCAGAATACACCATCTCCAACACATTTTCTTTTAGCTTCGAGGTTTTGCTGAAAGACACTCTATGATGCTTCCCAAAGAGACAATAATCGCAAGGATTTAGTTTTGAATCTTTGGCAAATGGGATGAGGGATTTTCTTGCCAAAATTTGCAATCCTTTTTCACCAATATGAGCCAGTCTTTTATGCCACAAATTTGGTGAAGCATCATCCTCGACTGCATTCAATCCACCTTTGATCAGCTTCACTTGAGTTCTGTACAGCGTCGATCTCACTATGCCTCTAGCAGCTAACAATGATCCTTTGGTAAGCCTCCACGTGCCGCTACCAAAATTATTAGTATAGCCTGCTGGATCCAATGCATGCACAGAGATCAGGTTCAGACGTAAGTCAGGAACATGTCGCACGTCCTTTAGTGTTATTGTGCACCCAATATCAGTTTGAATGCACACATCACCAACTCCCACAATATTTGCAATACTGTTGTTGCCCATCTTTACTCTACCAAAGTCTCCTTCTTTGTATAGAGAAAAGAATTCCTTATGAGAGGTGGCATGGTAAGATGCGGCTGAGTCAATGACCCATTCAACACATGAATCTGCAACATGACACTCTTCTTCTTCTTCTTCAACAGAGAGCAACACCACTTTCCCATTGATCACAGGGGTTGCGGTATTTTCATCGTTCTCTGATTTGTTGTTCCTCCGATCTCTGTTCTTCCAGGCTTTACAGTTTCTTTTGATATGCCCTTCTTCACCGCAGTGATAACACTTAAATTTTCTTCTGGGTTGAGATTGTGATTTATCTCTGGATTTGTTGTTTCGGCCTCTGCTTTTACTTCTCCCCCTGGTTTCTGTGACCAGGGCTTGGGAGCTGCTTGCCCCGGAATCTTTTCTTCTTGTTTCTTCATTAAACATACTGTCTTTGACTTGGGTCAAAGTCAGTTTTCCTTCAGGAGCAGAGTTGCTCAACGAGACCACCAGAGTCTCCCAGCTATCCGGTAAAGAACTCAAAACTAACAAAGCCTGCAGTTCTTCATCAAGTTTCGTCTCCATGGTAACAAGTTGGTTTACCATGTCTTGAAACTCATTCAAGTGTTCTGCAACCGACCTTCCATCCCGATATTTTAAATTCACAAGCTTTCTAATAACGAAAGCTTTATTTTGTGCAGTCTTCCTTTGATATATCTGCTCGATTTTGTTCCACAGTGTATGGGCTTTCGACTCTGTGGCAACATGGTGGAATATGCTGATATCCACCCACTGTCGGATTAAACTGACAGCCTTCCTGTGTAACTTTTTCCAATCATCATCCTTCACATCATCTGGCTTGATGTCTCCCTTTTCTACAGGATCATACAGATCTTTGTAGAAAAGTAATTTTTTCCTCTACTTTGGAGGTTTTTCTACGTAAAATCTTGGTGTCTTCTTTCTTGCATATTTTATTTATTTGGGATATTCTTAGTATGCTCTGTGGTCGCAGTTTAATCTGATCTTCCACATCAGAAAAGAATTATTCCTGTTTTATTGCAAGAGATTTTCTTTTGTCATTCTTGAGTTGCTGTGAGATTATTATTCACCATTTCACGTTGGTGTTTTAATTTACACCTTCCGCATTTGCGCATCTGAGCCCAACATAATTGTTAGTTTGTATAAGATTGTGTTTCACTTCTTACAACGTTTGTTTCATTAAATAACTTATCGGATATAATTGTACATTGTCAATTTTGTCCCCAATATCCAAAATATTTACCATTTGCTTGTTCATTCTAGTAAGTATAATTTTTTCCTTATTTCTCTTCATTCCATTCAATCTTTTTTCCCTATTTTTCCTTTCACACATTTCTTTTCATTCCATCTTAGGGCACAACAACCACAAATATATATTTTTCTTTCGTTCCCTTTCTTGTTATTCCATATTTTTTTTTTTTGCCAATCCATTTCTTTTCACAACAAAACGATCCTTCTCCATTGCAGATTTTTCTTTTTTCCTTAACTCTTTTTATTTTCTTTATTGTAAAAATTGTCTTTATACAAGCCTTTTAATCTGCAAACNTTTGGGTATTTGTGGGGATTGTGTTTTACTCACACTGGAAAAGCAATAGATCCGTATGTGGGAGCTAGTTTTTCCCAAATATGAAAGATGCTCATCATATCTTGCTTGCATATGTAATTTTTTTGGACATGAAAATTAATTAATTCTCTAATATACAAGGTGGTGAATTTCTTCCTTGTTCTGTGTTTTTAACAAGATCAAATATGTAGTATGGCTGTTAGGAGAATGATTTGTGTTGAAATCTATCATTATATAAAAAGAATAACTTTTTTACAAATTTAGCAAGTTTTTCCCGCCAATATCATTAAATGTATCCTATATATAGTAATTGTTGGTCAATTTTAAATTGGCAAAAAATCGGCTATGTATATATCTGTTTTTCTTTTTCCTCTTTTTTTGGTACTCAAAAACCGCCGGTGACAGTATATATATGTTTTTCTTTTTCCTGTTTTTTTGGTACTCAAAACCGCCCCGATGACAGTATATATCTGTTTTTCTTTTTTCCTGTTTTTTGTACTCAAATTCGTCGGTGACAATAAATATTTGTATTTCTTTTACCTGTTTTTATGATACTCAAAATCTCATCCCTTATTTAAAAAAAATAAAATACGACGACGCTGCTAATTTTCATTGGTCTAATTACTAATATTTTTACAAATATTATAAACTCATCCTCGAAAACAATGTAAAAAATATAATAATAATTTTGAAATTGTGTAATCAAATTTTGTTAGATGGAAATAACACCATAAATTCGGTACCATCTAAATGTCATTATTAAATTAGGCTTATAATATTTAGATATTTTAAGCAAACTGTTTAGACATTTTGTTTACATATTTTTCTCTCTCTCTCTCTATATATATATACACACACGTATACATAATTGATGTTAAATTTAAATATTTTTATACATGTTTTCTCTACAAAACTGTCTAGAAAAATCTTTTTTACACAATGTTAAATTCAAATGTTTTTAGATATATTTTCCTTCTAAAATTATTTGGAAAAGTTATAGGTGACTTCACATCTTGCAAAAATAATATAGACCAGTTAGTCCGTTCTTGTCCAATCTCAGTTGTTTATGGTTGAATAAGGGGCGCCAAATCAATTCAAATAGAAGAGGGTTTTAGCGGCTTCGGAAGGAGTGAAATAAGACCTGGCCATTGAGTAGCTTGCAGCTACTCCCTTATTTTAGTGATTAAATCCGGGCCTTTGCCTCAACTTCTGAGACTTTTCTCGTCGTTTTCATGGACAGTTAATCACAGTGTATTTCCTCCTTTGTTCCCCATAGCAACTGGGGATCAAAAAGGACCAAATTTGCCTCTGTCTCTTTGTTGGGTTAGACATTAGTAGGGGTTGGACGCCTTTAGGTCTATAGGGTTCGTAACTTGACAGGTTTAAGCGGACACTGAGTAGTGAATTGATTGCCTTTGCCTATTAATATAACATTTTAGGTGTTTTAATATTAAACATCCAAATTTTATATTATCTTATACAAAATAATGCAATTTTATTTTCTCTTATACAAAATAATTTTACATTGTTTGACCCCGAATCTTTAATTTATAATTATAAAGTATTGTTTATCCTCCTCTTTAATTTATAATTATTTTTTTTCTTCCTCTTTTTAAATAGAATCAATAGTAGTTTTCACTTAGTAACTCAAACTCGAGGTCTATTTATAAACTTGTAGATTTAATATTGTTTCCGTGCATCGCACGGGGTACACACTAGTTTCAGTCCAAATTAAGATTAGTTGGTCAAAAAGATGATATTTGAGGACAAAATGGAAATTTCCAGCTTTTTGTACTGTTGAGATGAAAAATATCATGCCAAAATATCAAGATCCAATAATCATGATTCATGAATATCCAAGATAAAATGACTTTTAATCTCGGGCTGGATCTTGTATTGCGAGCTGTAGCGGGCTTCAATCTTAGTTAACAAAGATAAGATTAAAGAGCTAATCTTGCCTTATCATGGCAAACAAACGTGCTAAGTGTAACACCAATATCCCACAATTATTGACAATAGCAATTGGGTACATTAATTAATGTTAATTGCTTCTACATCATATCCATTTAAATGCCTATTCATAGTCCAGCACCTCTTTCTGGTGAAAGCTAATGTGGCAGCCGCAAGCAGCGCAGAGGTCGTTTCCGCCGGGGGAACACGTGAACTTCTGGCAGCCGTCCTTGGACTCGGGGCCCGTTGGGTTGTGGTTCTTGTGGCACACCGTGCGCACCACGCGCCGGACAATCTTGCGGTGGAAATTCCGGTGACAACCGCAGGTGGAACAGTACTCCACCGTGTTAAATCGGTCCAGCGTTATGATCAACTCCTGGCAGCCATCGACTCGATTGCCAAGAGCCACGTGGGTTTTCAAGAATTCTCCGTACAATACACTATACTTAATCTCATCGCCCATGTTTTTTTTTGTTTTTTTGGCTTCTATGTATTGAAAGCTCTATGGGTGAATGTAGATATATTGGACTCTCAAAGAGTTCTACATTAACAAGAGGCGTATTGTTAGCTGTTGCACCTTTCAAACACCTATTTTTTATAATCTGATATTGATTAAGCAGTTTATCGGGATGATAAGGGTGTGATTAGGAATTATTTATTTATTTAAAAATTAAAAAAAAATAACTGGACAAAAATAAAAATAAAAAATTTATGGACAAAAATAAAAAGTTCTATAAATCCGATTTTTACTAAAAAACGGATTTATCAAATACGTTTTATAAAGTAAAACGTATTAAATTTACTCGTTTTATTAAAAATAATTAATTAACATAATTAATGTAATTAAGTTAATTACATTACACAAAAAACGTGTTATTTTAATACGTTTTATAATTAAAATTATTTTATTAATTATAAAACGGATTAGTTTTATACGTTTTTTAAAAAAATTAATTTTAAAAAAAATAAAAAAAAAATTAAAATAAAAAACGTCTTTGTGAAATACGTTTTTTGTGTAATTTTTCCCCTAAAATTGATTTTGCCCTAATTTTGACCGACTTAATTTTGACTTAATTCGTAAAACGGATTCTATGAATCCGTTTTTCTCTGCAGGAAAATGCAAATTATTTTTTTGAATTCATTTCACAACTTGTTCAACAAATCACAACTTGTTCAAGCAACTAATATGAAACAATTCGCCCAAAATAATCCAACATAAAGTATATACAAAAACTCAACGACAATAATTAATTCAAAACACAAATATGAGTATACAAATTGAAAAGAAAATTAACACATATGTTCACAAATTCCCTGAATACAATACAAACTAATTCGGAGTGTATCGATTCGTAGGATTGCGTTGTCGTTGGCTGGTCCGACGTGGTTGTCGTGAAGAAGACGATGCTGTGGGCGTGACTGGTTCTTTTTCTTCTTCACCTGAATAAATAATTTATTTAAAAATCACAATAACTAAATAAATAAAATTATTTTTTTGTTAAGTTAAAAATTTTCACCTTCTTCCTCTTCCTGAGGCCCGGTATCGGCAGCGGGTTGGCGGTTGCGTCGTCTTCTACCTCCACCAATGTTGGCAGCAGGTTGATGCCTCGCCCGGTGTGACAGCGTCCTCTGGGATCGGACGTAGCTCTCCTCCGTTAGAACTTGGCTCGACGACGGCCCTTGTGCGACAACTCCTCCTCCGACAGTCATAGAACTGTAGAGAAGGCTCTTGGCCTGTAAGACTGCGGTCTGCACCTCTGGAGGGAGTGTATGAAAGAGGTGGTCAACATTTGTTAACGTGTGATAAACTCCCTCCATGGCGGTAGCCTGAAAATTAAATTCAACGTCAATTAGAATGAAACACAAACAAATAATAATAATAATAATAATAGAATAAAAAACATAAATATATATTACTTACGTCGCACTTCCCCTGCTCGGCAAGTGGGCGAAAGCCTCTGTCCGGTTGGGCCACCGCGTACTTGGCAGGGTCACCGAGTAGTCTCACAGTGATACTGTGAAACCAATCAAGGTAATCCGCCTCAGGGTCAATGAATGACTCCACAGGGAATGTTGGGATAACATTTTCGTCTCTATGTTCGACTCAAGCATTCCCAAGCTCTCCGTGAAAGGCCACCCAGTCAAAAACTGCCCTCCCGGTCATTCCATGGCCTCGATGGTATCTCTGATATTCGGTCTCAGTCGGAATGATAGGAGGTTCGAGGATGGACTGCCGACACCCGAACTGACGGAGGACCCTATCAGGCATATGGACTTCACGGACGTTCCAGTTGAAGATCCACCTCCTATACATCCAGAGGTGTGAACCTTCTGTACACTGGGCCGGGAGAGCATTCCTTTGCAGGTAAAGTTGATTGGGCCTCCTATACATCCATTATTTTTTATTATAAGTATGCAAAATATAAATTACAAAATAATAATAATAATACTTTTATTCATATAATAGTTGTTTTACATATTTATATGAAAAGGTAAAGTTGATTGGGCCTTATAATGGAAAGTTAACTAAAATGTAAGCCTTAAAGTGAGAATAACCTAAAATATAAGTCTTCTGTTGAAAAAGTACAAAATTCAAACATTAGATTAATACAATTACTAAAATATGGGCCAAATATGTGCCAAATAAACTTATCATGAGCTAAATTAATGACATGGATTAAAATATTTTACTACTATGCATTTAAAACACACCATCGAGCTAAAGCCAGACCAACCTGCCCCTCCCTATTTGCAAATTTCATTAATTGTAAACGTGAAGAGTGTTAATTATATAATCAAAACTATTACACATTGCTTGCGTATACAATCTTAGTAATCATATATTTGTGAGTTTAGGCAACTATAGTCTTTTAATACATCTGTACAATTAATATTTATACTAGAATATAAAATTAAAAAGAATTTTATCAATTTGGGATTCGAAAGATGAGTCAATTATCAAATTGAGTTATATCATATTGATTTAAGACGAGACATGTCACTATGAATTTAAGACTTGAATTTTATCAATTTAACACCTAAAAAATCTGGATTAATTATCAATTTGAGACTTCAATTTAATGTTTCCGTTTCAAGACACCCAAAATATGGATTAATTATCAATTTGAGATTTCTATTTAATACTTTCGTTTCATCAGTTTGACACTCAATTTAATACTTTCGTTTTTTAATTTATAAGTTAATTCTCTATAANTATAGCCCCATTTAACCTTCAAGTTCTTACATAACAAAGGAGAAAAATAGATTGGAATACAATCCGACCACATTATCGTGGTTTTTGATTCTACTTCCCACTTAGCAATGGCGTGAGCAATCTCGTTATGACGGCGATTCGTATGCTGACAAAGTCCACAGTCTACTAAATCCAAGAGTGTCAGTATGTTGGAGAGAATTCCTTCAAAAGGGTGATGTGACTCATTTGCTATCAGTCCTTGCACGACTTCAAGGCAATCTGTGTTAACTTGTTTGATCTTCATTCTCAACGTAGCAGTAAAACGTAACCCAAATTGGATGGAAAAAGCTTCAGCCAAAGTTGGAGAAAACAAACTTGGCATATGAGAAGCAAAAACCGCAATTACAAGTCCTTCTGCATTTTTTGTCCACCCTCCCAACCCAATTTCCGAGTCTCTTACAGCTGCATCACAGTAAAGGTAACAACCATTTTCATTTCCTTGCCTTCCCTTCCAAGCCCAACGGTCCTCTACGGAGCCTCCAACCACCTCGAAAATTGTGCAAGCTTGGGTCTTATCGTACTCCTCCACCCATCTGGCTCCTTTTTCAATCATCACATTAATAAAATTCAGGCGGCCACCATGCAAAAGAGTATTTCTATCTTGCCACACAAGCCATAAAAACATAGCAAAAACCCTGAAATCCGATTCCTTCCAGCTCTCCGAGATGCTCACAATCCTCAAACATAAATGTTGCCCCCTCCCTTTTGAGATTGCGTCCCACCAACCAATACGTTTCCGTAGCTTCTTCACCCACCAACACTCAAAGAAGACATGATTATCCGATTCCCAGCACCCGCATCTAGGACAATTAACATTTGAATCAATGTGTCTTCGACGGAGATTTTCCCCAAAAGGAAGCGCTCGGTTTGATAAACGCCACAAAAATAATTTTATTTTTGGCAGAAGATGTAACCGCCAAAGCAAACACCACCAAGACGCTAAGCCACTATTACTCGAGGTCGGGTCATTAGCCAATGAATTTTGAAGAAGGCGATAACCGCTCCGAACTGAATAAATGCCATTTTTTTCAAAATGCCAAATTATTAAATCTCTCCGTCGATAGGAAGAAAAGAGAAATTTATTAAATCTCTATTCCAGCTCCCATGTACACCAATGAGGTCCTGTACTTTCTATAAGGGATTTTGATGGTTGTGAATTTCCTTCCTTTCTTTCTGCTCCCTTTGGTCAATTTTAATGGCTATTTCTTTCGAAAACTCCTACTGAGATGAGAAATTCCTCGACAAAGTGCTAGTGGTCAAAGGGTTTTTTCCCATGGAAGGAGCTGGTGCGGTAAAAATATTCGTTTGGTCATTTCTTTCTAAAATTTATTCATATTCAAATATTGTTTTTTTTTTTTTATATTCTTGGTTTCTTACACCAATATTCAATCTTAAATTAGTAGTTTAAGATAATGTTGGGTCTCAAATCAATAAATTTAAATTGACAGTTTAATATCTTTAGGGTCCATATATAAATATCATCTTTCATAATTAAAAATTGATAGTTGGACACATCTTTCAATAAACTTCTAAATAAAAATATAAAATTACATTATAAACATGCATTTTTATTATTTGAAAAAAATCACAACAGATCTGTTTAATCGGTGTCTCATCCCAAAGCATAAGTTGTATCTTATATGTGTAAAAAGAGTAAAAGAAAACTAAGAGAAGACCTAGAACAATTATTGCAGAGTCCATTTTTAAATGGACTTTATGAAAAAATAACTTTTCACAATTCACAAAGATTTCGACAATTTTCAACAAACATATTTTACTTCATAAATGGAATTTTAAATCCAAAGATTTCATTTCTTTTCTTTTTGTTTTTTCCAAACAGACTTCACATTTTTCAAGCAAGGAAAGAAGTGTTTCTAAAAGATCTAAAGGCATCATCATCTCATATCATTCATAACAAACCGCTAATTGATCTACAACTACAAGCACCTCTTTCCGGTGAAAGCTGATGTGGCAACCGCAAGCAGGGCAGGCATCGACCTGCAGGTGGTGGTTCCGGGGAAAGACGCGAACTCCTGGCAGCCGTCCTTGGACTCGGGGCCCGTTGGGTTGTGGTTCTTGAGGCACACCGTGTGCAACACGCGCCGGACAACCTTCCGGTGGAAATTCCGGTGGCAGCCGCAGGCGGTACAGTCCATCGGGTAATCTCCGCCCACCGGGATGAACTCCTGGCAGCCGTCGGCTCGATTTTCAAGAGCCGAGTGGAGTTTCATGCATTCTCCGTAGGAAACAGTATTTTTTATATCACCGTCACCGCCCATGTTTTCTTTCTTTCTTTTTTTTTTTTCTTCTCTCTTCTTTTTTTTGGTTTTGGGTTTTTTGGCTTCTATATATCGAAAGCTCTATGGCTGAATGTATATAAATGGGAGTTTTGGAGAGTTTTGAATTAATTAATTGGAGACGTGTTGAGACCTTTCAGTCACCTACATTATGCACCGTTTATCGGGCTGCTAAAGCAGAGGAGATATATGGATACAGAGACACAGAGACTGAAGAGTTGCCTCGTAAAACATTCATTGGAATTTGGCTTTTATGTGTATTCACAATTTAAATGATATTTTGATACTTTTGAGATTTCAAACTTTTTAAATTATTAGATTTAAGAAGAATCTATGAAATTTTAGGTATGAATATGAGATTTGGAATGGGATTTAATGTAGGATTTTTTTAATGAAGTCTATTTTTTTTTTTAAAAAAAAGGAAGAATTGAAGTTGGTCTAAAGGGCATTCTATATCATTCATATGATAAATTTTAGTACAAAAACCCTATTTTTTGGAATTCTAGCAACTTAATGATTGAATTTTATTCTTTATCAATAAAAGATTTACATTTTATTTAAGGTTCACTTTTTTATTTACATTCTCAATGTAAAATCCAACTAACTTTATTTTTTGACATAAATATATATATATATATATAAACCATAATATTATTTTTTACAGTCTATATTTAACAATTAACTTAAATGAGAAATTTAATTTATACAAGCTATATTTATACAAAAGTTTAATAAATTTTATTCAAGAAATTGATAAGAGAATTTTAAAAATATATAATTTAAATATTATTTTGATTAAGAATCTAAATATGTAATAAAAATAAGAAATAAAATAGAAGATGTAATGAAGATAGAAAATTAAAAGGGGAAGTAATAAAAAATGAATTATATATTTAATAATATTTCTTACTTTTATTACATATCTCAATTATTAATAAAAATAACATTTTAATTATATAATTTTCTAATTCACTTCTCAATTTTTGCATACGATAATTTTACTAAAAATATTTATTATTTTTATAAATATGTAAAATATAAATTACAAAAAAAGTATAATATTTTTATTCACATAATTATATCATAAAATAAAGTTATTTGGCCTTACATTGAGAAGTGAAACATAAAAATTGAGAAAAAAATAAAATTCAGATACTAAATTGATATAATTCAAAAAATTTATTGATATAATTCAAAAAAATTTAACTTGCAATGGAATATCCACGTCATCTACAATTTATCTCATCCAAACGTCTACATTATCATTCCATTAAAAATCTCACCATTCAAACATTGTTCCACATTTGTTGAATTAATTAAATATTTTCTCTTTTTAAATGTCATTCAATTTATTAAATGGAACACCTAGATCCCATTATTTTTGTCATATCAATAAATAGCCAAATTAGTGTTAATGGCTCATACATCCATTCAAATGTTACTTAAATATGCAAGCTCCTCAAATGACAATTTTTTTTAAAAAGAAAAAAGAATCAAGAATCCCAACTTTTCACCTAAAAAGAAATTTAACCAGCATTACATGGGAGTAACAGACTGCCTATTCATCGACCACCACCTCTTTCCGGTGAAAGCTAATGTGGTTTTCGGGGATGGGGCACTTTTGGGAGATCATCTTCAAATCATGACCGTCTAAAGATTCGGGGATGGGGCACTTTTGGGAGATCGTCTTCAAAACATGGCCGTCTATAGATTCGGGGATGGGGCACTGTTGGGAGATTGTCTTCAAAACATGGCACACGGTGGAAATTCCGGTGGCAGCCGCAGGCTGCACAATAGTACATCTTCTCAAAACAACTGCCTCGCCGAATGAACTCCTGGCAGCCATCGGCTCGATTTCCAAGATTCGCGTGGATTTTCAGGCATTCTCCGTATTTAAACTCACCGGCCATGTTTTCTTCTCTCTCTCGTTCTT